TATAGCTAATTAATTTAGAAATGCATAAATATAATTTGTAAATTATTTTTAACTGTATCGTAAATAAATCTATCTATTTCTATGAAATTTTAGATTTGAGTCATAAATTGTGAATGTCTAATATATTTTTGTTGAAAACTTGTGGTATATATATATTTTTTAAGATATTGTATTATTAATTATTCAAACTATTTTTAATCATACAGTGAATAAGTTTATTCATTTTTATGAAAATTTAAGTTTGACTCGTAAATTGCGCATGTCCTATATATATTCTTCCAAAAATTGTGATAGGTATATTTTATTAGAAAATTGTATTAATAATATTGTAATGATTTATAAAATATATGAATTTTTATATAGTTATTTTTACTTGAGTATATATTATGCATATATTTTAATTTATTTATCCAAGTTACAGAATTTTTTCTAAAAAAATTATAGAATTTTAAAAATATTTTCTAATTATTTTAAAAAATAATTTATATATGATGATATTTCAAAATTTAATTTTCTAGTAATAAAAAAGATATATTATTTAATAAAAAATATACCCAAAACCTCTTGTTACTCAATTTTGTCCGAAAAAAAGGAAAAAAAAAAAAAAAACAAGTAATTGCAAATCTAATTATAAACAAGTAGTATTTGACAATTGTAATCTTGTACACATTAATTAATTTTAGAAATAAATAAATAAATAAATTTAAAATAGAAAATTATCAATATCACATTAAAATTGTACCACCTTTGAAATTATATTCTATTTTTGAATGGGTGTGCATATGTTAATTTTGAAATTTTTTTATTTTTTCATTTTGATATTGATATTATTGCATATTTATATTTGAAATTTTTTTATTAGGATATGATATGCATGTAAACAAATATTCAACTGATTTACTAAATAAATATCATATCTCTTAAAAAACAAACAATTAAAATTAAATCTCTTCAAAAAATGAGAGTTTCTCTTAAAAAAACAAATACAATACATGTACTTTTTAATTCGGTGTTATTATTAAATTATTACTATAGTTAGCACGATATATATGTGAATATACATATGTTGATTTTGACATGTTTAGCATTATACATATGCATCATTACAATATATATATATCTCTCTCTCAAAACATTGTCAATTTCTTAAATAAATCATGGTTTTAATTAAATAGACCATTATTTAGTTAGTAGTTAAATACATTATTTTATATGCATGACAAATTGACAATCTTTATGCTTGTGGTGTAGTTAAGACATGTAGTAGTAAAGTAAAACATATAGTCGCTAATTCAATAGTGACTTATTATATACTTGACTATTTGCCTATTAAATATGTTATATACGTATATATTTTATACATTTATTAAGTAGGTTATTAGTAGATTATTTATGAAACATTTGGGAGCTTGGTACGCTTTAGTTTAATTAATTATTTTGAGTCTTAGGGTTTGTTTGGGAGAGAGCGGATGAATGAAACATAATGAAAATTTTAGGGCGTAAAAAATTAGATCTTGTTTAGTTGTAGAAAGTTACCTTGAACTTTTATTTCTAGGTCTGTATATTGTACACACACATATAGATATATGCTGCAATAAAAACAATATTAAAAAAACAATAATGAAATTAATGACGTAAATTATTTACTCATCTTCTCTTTTGAAGGTCCAAAATTAAAATTTTCAATATAAAATTTAGAAAATCGATAGAATGAAAAAGAGAGTAAACTTTAATTTGGTTGGGGGAGTGATCTTATTAAGAGAATACAATTATTATTTATGAAATAGTTTATGTTAGATATGATTATATAATTATAAAGGTAAATATCTAGTTTCATCAACAAAATATGTTCAATATAAAATTTTAATACTGAATATTTTTATTATAAATTAATTTTTAAATTTTTAAACTAGTTTAAAAGAATTAATACTGTTAAGTTTTAACATAAAATATTTATTGAAGGTACGAAAGCATTAGTTTCTTTGACCAAAGTACTAAAGACGGGCATTCAGGGATATGCGGGAACAAAACTACATCACAATCCACTGTTTTTAGCACAACGGTGCAACAATTGTTAGCAGACCTGAAATTTGCAACACCCAAGATCAACCGCTACTTTGCAGCCACCAAGCGAGGAGAGGGCAATGCATCGATAGTTTATGCAGTTGCTCAATGTGCAGAAACCCTAAGCAAGAGCGGGTGTGAAGCTTGCATGAACCAGGTGTATAATGACACTGTGAAATGTACTCCATTTTCCAATGGTAGAGGTGTTGATGTTGGGTGTTTTCTTAGGTATTCAGATTCATCTTTCTTTGTTGATAACCAAATTCTCGATATCAGACCTTATCTTAAAAAAGGTGAGTAATTATACTTATACATATATTAGTTTTCACAACAACCTAAATATTGATGGATGTTTACAGAAAGTTCAAGAAACAGGTATTATCTGATCGGAGGATTAGTAGGAGGTGGGGTATTTCTCTTATTTCTAATTGCTCTATTCCTTTGGTTCAAACCATCAAGGAAACATAAACCAAATCAGAGAGGTAAACAATCAGTCTATACCCGTAATGAATATGTAAACAACGTATATACTTTTAGTATTATGGCAAGGATTAATTTACGAATAGAACTTCAATTTTGCAGGTGATATATTAGGAGCAACTGAGTTGCAAGGTCCAATGAATTATAAATACAAAGATTTGATTTCTGCAACAAAAAACTTTAGTGAAGAAAATAAACTTGGAGAAGGAGGTTTTAGTAATGTATACAAGGTAATTAAGTATACCACTTATTCCGATGAAGATAGGGTTCTTTACTTGTGGTAAACACAATAGTTTAAAAAATTTGATCTAGTGTTCTAATTTATAAAAAAATATATCTCTTATTAAGATATAAGCCAATCGTTAATAAAATTCAATTCACAAAAAAAAAAATTCACCTAATCTTAAATTAAGAAATTGAACTCGAAAGTTAACTTCAACTCTTACAAGTTTTCTTTTTCTTAAATAAAAAATGAGTTCTTATATATGATTAAATTTATCATGATAAATATTTAAAAAAGTGTTAATTTTATGATAAATAGGGGGTGCTGAAGAACGGGAAAATAGTAGCAGTGAAGAGACTGGCAATAAGTGAATTTCGTTCTCAAAGGGTGAAGGAAGATTTCGAAAGTGAAGTGAAGCTTATAAGCAATATCCATCATCGAAATCTAATTCGTCTTCTTGGTTGTTGCAATAAGGGATTCGAGCTGCTTCTGGTTTATGAATTCATGGCCAACAGTAGCCTAGACAAATTCTTGTTTGGTAATTTAATTAATTAAAATCACCTTACATCATTATCTTGCAACATTAAAGATGGTAATGGATCGATATATAGGTGAAAGACGAGGCACATTGAATTGGAATCAACGACTTCAAATAATAATAGGCATAGCAAGAGGTCTTGCATACTTGCATGAGGAATTCCATGAGTGCATTATACATCGAGATATAAAATCGAGTAACATTCTTCTGGATGAATATTTCCAGCCTAAAATTGCAGACTTTGGGTTGGCTCGACTTCTACCCGAAAATCAGACCCATCTTACCACCAAGTTTGCTGGCACCCTGTAAGTATCACTATTTTGTCACCCGACTACTCTCTCATAAATGCATCTTTTTCTACTATTATGGATATATATATATATATATATTTCAGGGGGTATACAGCACCAGAATATGCACTCCATGGACAATTATCAGAAAAGGTAGACACGTATAGCTTTGGTATTGTTGTCCTTGAAATCATAAGTGGCCAGAAAAGCAATGAACCAAAACCAGTTTTGAATGGTGACTTCCTCCTCAAAATGGTAATGATCCCACTCATCATCTTGGAACCAATTAACTATTTTCGTTGAATTCATCTATCATTTACTTTTATCAGAAATATGAATTTATGTAACTAATTCTGTCTTACAGGCGTGGAAATTGTACGAGAATGAAAAGTACCTAGACTTGGTAGATGAAAACTTAGACGTGAGTGAGTATGAAGCAGAAGAGATGAAGAAGATGATAGAGATTGCATTCTTGTGCACCCAATCGACACCCGGTTTGAGGCCAACGATGTCTGAAGTTGGGATTATGTTGAGAAATAAGGGGCCACTTGAACACACTCCTCTTCCAAAACCAGACTTCATTAATCCACATCACGAAACAATATTTATTGAACACAACTTCCCATCTACTGCCTCTTCTGCATCGAATGCTAATGCATCTTTTACTCAGATTTTTGCTCGTTGATCTACAAATTACAATCGCCATGTTACAATATTTTAGACGATTAATGTTATTAACATATTTAAGCTTTAATAGTTACAGATTGGATCTGTTTACATCTTCATGAGTGGGTTTAAATCGTTGTGTTATATAATGTTTTAATAATGCAACATGAACAAAGAATTTTACAAAATAAAGATAACAAAATTTAGTTACCTGAATTAATACCCTTATTTATACAAACATTATTTACTCATTTTATTTGCCATAGTTAAGATTGAATCTATTATGTGTTTGCAAGTGGGATTTAGTCATTATATTTTAATATTTTAACAATACAAAGTGAATAAAGTAGTTTACAAACTAATGTGACAATTTAAACATTAAACATTATACAAAGTGAATTAATTCTCTTATCTACTCAAATATTATTTAAACATTTAAGGTTCTAGTTAAGAAAGTGTGTTTGAATGTTATGTCATAGTAGTTCAATAATGCAACATAAACAAAGAATTTGATCACAAAACACTTCTTTTTTTTTGCTACACAAAGGAAAAGAAAGGAAACAAATACACCAAGAGCCTAGGTCGCAGTCAAACGAACCTAAACCATGTCATAGAGATCAATTAAGAGTAAAGAGCTAAGCTCCTCAGGTGCTCATATCAATATGGTTGGTTATATGAGCAAGAGTGTCAACACATGTACTACCCTCCTGGTGGACATACTAGATTTGGATGTCCTAATCACAAGCAAAAAGGTCTCTAAGAAAAGTTTAATAAGAGTAAAGAATGAATACCGACTAGTGCTTTATCACAGAAGACACGAGACATGGAGAGAATCCACCTCTATGATTAGCTTCCGAAGCCGTAGGTCCCATAGCCATCTTCAGATCCTCAATGACAGCATGGATAGACGTTTACTCATAAAACCACGTAAAGAGAATTGAAAAAATATTTAAAAAAAATGCTTAACATAGATCCCTTTTTGCTGTGATTGCTATATACACCATATTGTGCTTGAATGGTGTTAGTTTCTGTAATGTTTGTTGCGAGGTTTATGAAGAAATCATGATTAACTATCAATATTTTTTGTTGCTATTGAATCATCTTTGTGTAGATAAATGAGTAAGACAATAGGGGAGTAAGAACGCTTATAGATTTTAATGCTAAATACAAGTCTTGGTTTCAGTATATTTATGTAATTAGTTTCGGTATTTTAATGGGTCCAAAGTCAAAATACTCATAAGAATTATAACTGAATATGAATGATACGATATTGAGTAAAATTTATTGATTTTATATGAAGAGAAGATAGATGTGGAGGACTTTTTATTTATAATATGTTAATATGTAATTTTGTTAGAAATAATAATTTGCAAATTAACAAGACTATGCATTCTAAGGAGTTAAAAATAATAATTTTTAAATTAAAGAGACTTAACTAAGGAGATTAAAATAATAATTTACAGATTTTTTATCTTATATGCAGTTAAGAATATAAATGTGTGTTTTTTGATTTTTATAAGTTATAGTTCATGAGTTAAACTTCAGAATGAGTTTTTAAAATTTTTCTACCTAGTTATGGTTCATAAATTAGAATTAATTGTCATTCTTATATTTAAAATTTTAAAAGTTATATTAGTGTCTATATATACTCATGTGCTTGAAGGATAACATACATAAAAATTTGATTCTTTCTATTTATATTATGTTAATAGTTAAAGGATATACATAAAGTAGGTATATCAAGAGATAGAAACCTATCTTAAATGGATTTTAAGAAATATATTATTTAGGTGAATAAAATATTTTTGGACACAAAATATCAAATAAGTATAAATTCGTATATGAGTATGCAGTATTAATACATTGACATTGATGATTAGTACAATGAATGTTCAATGCAAGCGTTTAACATGGCTACAATCCTAATTGCTTGAACATGCTCCATTGTACTTAATATACAACGAGTTAATAGAAGTTTTAAGTCAATGAAAATCTAATAATCTTAGAGTCATAACCCACTAATCTTTTTAGACGTACACAAATAAGAACTAAGCATGAATGACTGAAAAAACAAATAATCATACTCTATTTTATTCAATCTAAAGACTTAAACTCACACAGTAAAATGAAAAAACAAATTTCTTTCCCATGTCTAATTATTTTTAAACAAATAAAAACTATTCAATTCATATTGTGGTTATGTTTTAGCTGAACTGAAACTAGATTTATTTATAGAACTAAAAATTTTATATTTAAAAAGTGTTAAATAAATATTCAACCAAATTTAAACATAAGGATATGGATTTTTGATTGGATTATGGTAAGTAGAAGAAGAGTTAAAGGAGATTAATAAAATAAGATATATCTTGAGAGAGAAAACTATTTTAATTGGAGTTTATGAAATAGATTTTGTTAGGTGAATAAAAAATTGAGACTCAGAATATCACATTTGTATAAATCTATGTATGAGTCAGTTCTTTCTTTTTTGTTTCAAAATGAGATAAGTTATCTAAAAATATGAAAGTTCTTATTTTGGTTTTAAGATTTAATTTTGAATTAGAACAAAATCTGATATTTAATTAAAAGATAAGAATGAGAATTTTAATTCCAAGAGAATTTACAAAATAAAAAAATCATGAAAATATATTAAAAAAAAGATAAACATATATTACTGAAGAACTAATAGAAAATAATTAAAACACATTTTATTCTATTCAATACAAAAAATTGTCGTTACAAATATTAAAATGAACTCTCTTAAGAATCATAATACCCCTGAGCTTTAAGAAAAAAAATAATTCCTTAAAGGGCATAGGTTAGTTTAAACTGTTCATTTACCCTTGTTCATGGTCCCAAATAATTACTTCGAAAAAAAAAAAAACTTTTAAATTATCATCAGACTTAAAACCAATTTAAGCATAGCTTTAGTATATTCATTCCATTAAAGCCCGTGTTACAATTAAACGATCATTAAAGTTTAGTAGTATAAAAGAGTTGTACTTAAGAATACATTTTCTTGAATTGAACTGAAGTCAAAATAAAAATTTATACAAATTATAAGTTACATAAATAACAAGATATCGAGAAAAGTTCTTAATTTTATGTCAAGAGAGGGGCAGATGTTGTGGAATGCTTTTTATCTTTCGTTACTCTGTAGGTTAATGTGATTTATTTAAAAGACATTGATAGAATTAATTCTGACTCCATATTAGAAAAAAATGTTCAATTGATGCATAAGTCGAAATTGGATCCAAATAAAGACATAATTTTATTAGTTTAAAAATTTAATTGTATATAACATTAGAGAAATCAATATGATATATAAATTTGAAGCCATAATGTCTTTGTCCACCTTCTCCACTGCGAGGTAAACCTTCTCGACAGGTTGAAGGTTTAAACCCATTATTAAAGTAGCATCATCAATGCATTGGCATTGACCATTTATACAATGAACGGGACCATAGGTGTTGATTCCAGCCCATCATCAATGGGATCTTAATGCAGTAACGGAAACGATATCACATGATAAGCGGGGCAGATTTCCTGTAACGAAATTAAGGAAGATCAGCATTATATCCCTTGAATGTAAAATATAAACATATGTACAAAACTCTAAATTTTTTGCTTGCATTACTAAAATAACAAAGTCAGAGAAGCATTACATCTCTTGAATGTAAAACATAAACATATGTATAACGCTCTAAATTTTCTTACTTACATTACTAAACAAAAGTAGAAATAGTTACCTTAATATTAGAGTCTAACTTAAAAAAAATTCTCTGTATCACCGCTAGCTTTGCAGCAGTATCTTTGGTATCTGGAAGGTGATAGGGGGAGGTGAGATAAAATATCCTAATAAGTAATATTATGAAATTACAGTATAGTACATGCAATATATAGTGTCTTTACACACAACAAAACATATGTCATATAATCTTACTAAAACAGATATAATAATCAAAAGACGAATGCACAAATCAGAAAACATATTCACAATTGCTTCGTTGTATACTTCATCACTATTATGAATGATCAATCAGTTACCATACATTATGCATAGGTACACATACTTATCACTGGTTCCCATTGTATCTGAATACAAAACGACATACATGAGTACCTTGAAACACTTATCCCCTGACCATGGAATAATTAGGGCACACAGATCAGACTATTTTTCCATACACCTAAACACAGAACAATTATCTATAGGTACACACTTATCACTTCGTCAATACACCCAAATACGGAACGGTTACATATGACTATATTGAAGTTTAGGATAATGAAGGTGCTTTCAAAAAACTCATTTCTATGTAGGTTACGAATCCATAATATCTACTAACCTTAGATCTTTAGCAGTCATAATCTTAATTCAGGCAGAGTTTCGGCTTTATTTATGATATTTTCCTTTCAAAAATTCGGCAAAGTTTCGGAATGATTTTTGGTCACTTTCTTAAATAAACAATATCCAACACAATACTCAAAAACTAATCCAAAAAATTAAAGAGAAATCGAACTTGATAAATTTTAAAAATGCTTACCTTTCAAAAAGTTTATAACATTCTTTTAACCGTGAGCCTTCTTCCTCTTTTCTTTGTCTTCCATTACTCTCATGAATTTAGTAGAGTTTTTCCAAGGTTTTTATCTAAAACCTCCCAATACTCTTAAAAATCAGACATTCCGTACTTTTTCTTATTCCCTCACCTCTATGCTTCTCACTATTTTTCTCTCATTCGAAATGTCTCTTCCTCTATTCTCTCATCCCCTATTTATAGGAGTGGGGAGCCATAAAAGAAAATTGCCATCATTTCATCATGCCACTTCATATAAAAGTTATCGCTTTTCATCAAGTCACTTTATCTAAAAGGTTACTACTTTTCACATGCCGTTTTATCTAAATGGTTATCACTTTTTACATGTCACTTCATCTAAAAAATTACCACTTTTTACATACTATTTTATCTAAAAGTTATCACTTTCTATTATGTCACTTCATTTAAAATTTATCACTTTTCG